AGATGGGCTGGGCTTCTCAGCTCAGGCTCTGCAGTCACTAGCTGGGAGATGCAATTTAACATTGCTGAACCTCGTTTCCTTGACCGTACACTGAAAATAGTAATATCGACTCCCTTATGACCTGGCATAGGAAACCTTTTCTTTTAAACCAGAAAAAGACACTAAACACATAGAAGTGAATGATAAATCTGATACATTAAAATCAAGAACAAGTGTTTAAAAAGAAAAATAAAACAAATTTAAAAAATAAAAAAATAAGATTTGCCCATTTTTAGAAAAAAAGACTAATACAGAGAATTATAAATTGAGAAATTCTATAAATTCAAAAGAAGGAGAAGAGGAAAGAAGAGAAAACACAGCTAAGAATGTGAAAAGACAACAATCAGTCCCATTGCAGGGCAGTTAAGCCTTTGTATAAAAAGCCAAATCCCCCATGACCAACTGCATTTGGCCTAATCAACTAGCCCTAGTGGCTTGAAAAACATTATCAGGCATGGGTAGATGTGTGCCCTAATGGGATGGAGAAATAGAGGAAAAAGGATTGCAGCATGATCACATCCCATTGAGACGTTCTCTGTTTCTCACTCTCTCTCCCTCTCTTACACAACACAACACACACACATGCCTTCTGGCAATTAAAAAAAAAAAAAAAAAAAAAAAAAAAAACAAAAAAAAGATGGGGCCAGCAGGTGGCATGGTGGTAGACACTGGATTCCCAGATGGTCTACACAGTTCAAGTCCCAGACCTGGTAGCTTGAAAATCACATCAGGCATGTGTCATGTGCACCCAGAATCCCAGGAGGAGAAGGGCTTGTGGCAAGATCATTCCCCTGGGAGGGTGATTGGGTGATTTCTCACTTTCCCTCTCACTGTATCTGTTTTTCTCCAGCAAGCACACATGCCCTGTGGCAAAAAAATAAAAAGAGCAAAAACCTTTAAAAAGAAAATAAAGATTAAAAACTAAAAGAAAAAGAAAAAGAAAGAAAGAAAAAAGCTAAAAAGCTTAGATAACACAATAGAGAAAATACAAATGTCTAATCAATATAGGAAGAAAGATGCTTGGCTATAGTAGCAATAAATAAAATACAAATTAAATACTACTACTTCTTAAGGTTTTCTAGGGATTATATGATTATTTAAAGCACCTACAAAAGTTCTGGTATATAGTCAGTGTAAAAGCCAGAAATGAACTTCCCCACTGATCCTTGTTTGACCCTTTCTAGGGGTCATAACTAAATACCAAGAAAGTCTAAACATGAAGGAGTTCTCCATAATCTCAACATCCATCAGTAACCTTAACTTTGATGGATACGTCAAAGCTTAGAAACAAATCTGGGCTGTTATCTAGTAAATATACAAAATCATTCTATATGCAAATTTGATAAGCTAACCCGACTCCCCGTTTCCTATTCCTTCTGACTCTTCTTTTTACACTATTTTTAAAATTTTTATCCTTTTAAAATTTATTTTGTGCACTGGTCCTATAGCCTGGTAGTTAAAGGAGTCAGATTCCACATGGCCAACTGCATAAAACCAACAACTTGAAAAACATAGCCGACAGATGCACATGCATGTTCAAAATCCTGAAAGGACTGAGAAGTGGAATAGAAAGGATTGCAGCATGATCACACTCTATTGGGGGTGCTTTCTCCCCTTCTTTCTCTCTTTGTCTTTCTGGTAAGCACGTGCACCCTCCAGCATTTAAAAAAAAAAAAGTGAATTTTACATTGTTATGGTACATGCACTTAGGCAAAGTACTTTCAATTCTGAGAATAAGTAGGGTATAAATAAACATTACAAAACAAATCTTTGCAAGCACTGGCCTATCAACTAGAAGGAAATCTTTGGCATTTCCATGAATCCTCTGAGCATGCACAAATATACCAAATTTGTCAGATCAGTGGGTTGCTATGGAGGAAGTTCCACATCAGCACCCTGAGAACTGCACTTGTTTTTGGTAGGTACCTTAACATAACTCATTCTAAAAACTTATCAGTCAAGGTAGCCTTTGGAAGGAATGAAGTCCACACATTTGATCAACAACCAACAGTCTACTTGTGTGAGTACATACCAAAGGAGACAGAGTCTCAGAAGAGTAAGGAGGGGCTGGTGTCTCCACAGCTAATTCAGGATCTTCCTGTTCACTTTCACTGTAACATTCTATAACAAAAAAGAAAATTGTTAAGGTTTCAACACTGTCATCACTTACTCTATAATGCATGAGTGGAGGTTTTCTCAATGCACCACAATTTAAATCTGAGAAAGTACATATCTATTGAACCACCTGGTGCAAGGAAACTACATAAGAAGGAAAAACAAAGGCTACCTCAGGCCTTGGGCCTTCCAGGAGTACCCAACACACAGGAAGAGAGCCAGTTCAGGGAAAATAAAATAATTTCTCAAAAGAGGAGTGAGTCATAAATTAAGGGAGCACAGATTAGTAGGGAGTAATTTGATTGTAGGAACCATAATCAGCTGCAACTGGATAACAAAACAATCAATGGTACATGAGGAATAAAGGCAGGACTAGGCTGAGGGAGCAGCCGAGCCAAGTTCATGGATTCTCCAAGGAATACAACAGAAAGGGAAGGTGAAATGTCAGTGAGGTCATAGCATGAAAGGCCTCAGAAAGACCAGGATAAGAAGATTGATGGAAAAGATGATTACAGAACTGGTTTCACAGTATTATATCGTACTCATTGTTTTAAACAAGTTGCCATTTTTCCATTCTAAACTTAAAATTTTGTAATTTTGTTATCCAAAGATAAAACTCCCCACTTACAATCCCCAAGTTTTAATGTGGTCTGAACATTTCAAAAACAGCATAAGCTTGTGACTCTCACACCTAAAACTTCCCCCCTTTCTCAAATCAATGGAGTTACTGCATCATTAAAAGAAGGGACCAGCAAATGGTGTAATGGTTATGTCACAGGACTCCCACATGGCTGACCATGGCTCAAATCCTGACCCAGAGACTTGAAACTCACAAGGGGGTGCATGTGCGTGCATGGCCAAAATCCCAAGAGGAGAATTTAGGAGAAGGGATTGTGGTGTAGCCACCCTCCCGCCTCGGAGGGTGGGGTGCTTTCTCACTTTCTGTCTCTTTGTCTCTGCAGTGAGCACACACACCCTATTATAAAAATCTCTCTTAAAAAACAATAACAACAGAGATTTAAACTCCTGTATCTTTTGAATGCAAAAAAGCTAGAGACAGCTGAAAACAACCTCTGCCCCAATTTGACTTTCAGGTTCCTAATAACCTTAGAGCAATTTATCTCAGCATGCACCTGGTGGAAATATTAAACTATCAGAGAGGAAACAGTGGGATGAATGTTATATGACTAGACCATGACAAGATCATACTTATGAGTGAGAATTCAGTAAGTAGGGCAATAAAACATTTGCATTGGCAATTGTTTGAGATATCAGTGAAGCCTACAGCTGCTGAAGTGTGGGTGAAGTGTGAAAAGCATTCGTAGCCAGCATGGGAAACTATTCCATGGTGGTGAGTCTGTGTGAAGATGTCTGCCTCTACATATTTTCAGATGATTTTAAATGCCAAAATATGTTTCATCAGGATCAGATTATACTCAGAACATGACATTGTTTCCTCATCCTATTTCAACTATTCTAATATTCTTCTAAGTTTTCAGATATTTAAAATACAACATACCTTCATCCTTTGTAGTGGATTCATGATGGATTACAGCTAATCCAAGTTTATTTAACCACCTAAAATCCAAATAGAAAGTAAATGTTTAAGCAAAGACACTGACTCCCTGACCCAGAGTCTTCCCCCTAGACCCCGAAGGAGGGTTTGCTCAGCCTTTGTAATTAAATTAAATCGTAAATCTATTTAGTCTGATCATCTTCAGAAATAGCCTAATTTTGTGGTATTGAAACCCAAGGCCTCTGGTTTCACAAGATTTTCCATACTAAGGGCATACTTTGTAAGACAAGAAGTGAAATGGCCCATTATCCAGTTGGTCAACATGGACGACTAAATTAAGCATTCTAAATATATGAACAAACATATCTTCTATCATTTTGCATGTCAAATACTCAGCAACCATCAGAACTTTTATCATTGAATTTAGTAATTTGGTCATTAAAATGGTAGCTCTAGGGACCAGAAGTTGGTATAATGGCTATGTCGCTGGACTTCCATGTATCGACCACAGTTCGCGTCCCGGTCCCAGTGGCTTAAACTCATGCCAGGGCCATGTGCGTGCATGCCCAAGATCCAGAGAGGAGAAGGGAGGAGAAGGGATTGCGGAATGGTCATCCCCCCTGGGGGATGATTTCTCACTTTCTGTCTCTGTCTCTCTCTGTCTTTCTGTCGAGCACATGCAGTCAGCCTATAGCAAAAAAATAAACCTCTCCAAAAAAAAAAAAAATTTGTAGCTTTATAGTATTTTCTTTTTTTTTTTTTAAGTTTTTGCTCTAGGATGTGTGCACCCACCAGAGAGAAATATATATATATAGAGAGAGAGAAAGTGAGAAATCTCCCCCCAGGAGGATGACCATACCACAATCCCTTCTCTTCCACTCTCCTCGGGATTTTGGACAAAACCGGAAAGATTTTTATGTCAACTGGTAAAAGATCTAGCTAGAGCTTAACAGGAATTAATTCCTAAACTAGGAACATTTCAATTCCTCAAAAAACTTTATGTAAAGTAAAAACTGGCAAGATCCTATCTTCTCTTGATTTATCATTTTATTAACAATTCCAATTAAATATTAATAATAAAAAATAGAACTCAAACTTCTTTAATTTTAAATATTTGCCAAAGGGCTCACGTAAGAGACACAGAAAGAGAGAGAGAGAAAGTAAGAATGCACCTCTGATGGGGAATGGTCACACCAAAATCCCTTTTCCTCCATTTCTCTTTGCCTCTGGGATTTGGAGCATGTATACACGTGGCTGGAGTGTTTCTCAAACCACCTGATCCAGGACTCAAATGGCACAGTCAACCAAATGGGATCCAACAGCTTTAACCACCCAGTTATGGACCGGACCCTAGAACTCAAACTTTGTGTGTGTGTGTGTGTGTGTGTGTATGTATGTATATATGTGTGTGTATATATATATATATATAATTTTTTTAATGTCAATGAGACTTAAGAAATTTAAATATGGCTTATGATTTCAGGCTTCTACAATTCCTTCTCAAATGTTTAGCTAGAAACACATTTTAAAACACAAATTTTTTAAATAAAAGACATGAACTATATTTTATATATCCATATCTATATAACCTTACACTTACGAGAAAATGGTATTTTGGGGTGACTAAAATCTAAGCAATTTATTTTCTACTTATTTTCTGTATTTTAAAATATACCATATCACATATTAACTCTTTTTTTTATTTTGAAAAACCAGAGAATTCAGTAGTGACCTAAATCAACCAATGTTCCCAGCATGTTTTTCAAGCCAGTGGGTCTAGGATTTGAACTATGGTCAGCCATCTGATATCCAGGTTCCCTTAACAACCAGGATACAGGGTTGGCTTTATTATTTTTTAAAGGTTTTTGCCATAAGGCGCCTACACTCACTGGAGAGAGATTGTGAGAAGGAAAGTGAGAAATCTCCCCACAAGGGGATGACCACTCCACAATCCTTTATCCTCCTAGGTTTGGGCATGCACACACACACACACGCCTGGCATGATTTTCAGGCTGCCAGGTCTGGGAATCAAACCATGGTAGGCCATGTGGGAGTACTGCCCTTAACCACAACACCACCTGCTGGTCCTAGTCCTACTCATTTTTTTTTAAATATTCAGATTTTATTCTGAGTATTTTGAGCAAATGATTTCTTTTTGTTTTTAAATAATAATTTTATATAACTTTATTAATTGATTGATTTTAATATGAATGGAAAGGGACAGAACGAGAGAGAGAGAAACGGAAAGTGAGAAAGCAAGCCAGCAGGTCCAAGATTTGAACTGCGTTCAGCCATGTGGAAGTTCAGCATCCCCAACCACACACCATCTGTTGGCAACCTACTATTGTTTTTTTCTTTTTTTGGAGAGGTTTTTGCTATAGGGTGCGTGCACTCACCAGACAGATAGAGAGAGAGACAGAGAGATAGAAAATGAGAAATCACCCCCCAGGGGGGATGGCCACACCGCAATCCCTTCTCCTCCATTCTCTTCTCGGGATCTTGGGCACGCACGCACACACACGTGCCTGGCATGAGTTTTAAGCCACTGGGTCCAGGACGCGAACCGCGGTCGACTACGTGGGAGTCCAGTGACATAGCCATTACGCTAACTGCTGGTCCCAACCCTACATATTTTTTAACAGGAAAACTATAATAAGTTTGATTTTTAAAAATAAACAAAATAGGATTTTCTACAAGAAGGAAGATGAGCTAGACTCCTTTTAGAAGACCCCTTGAGGGGCCAGATTGGTGCCCCACTGGTGATGTGCTGCTCAAGTGAAAATGGGTCTGTATGTAAGAGTATGGGTTCAGTTCCCTGGTTAACCTTTACATGGGAGCACAACCCATGATCCTAATTGATTGAGAAGGGTTGGGAAGGGCATTGTGAGGTGAGACCCTAATGAGTTATTTGTCTCTCTCTCTCTCTTTTTCATAAAATAAAGAAATATAACTTTTTAAAAGTCCTCTTCAGACCCACAATAAACACAAAGTCTCTAATGGTCACTTAAAATGGAACTAATAAAGGGCTTTGAATATGCATTGGAACCAAAAAGTGTTTATCAAGTCCCAATAAAATAATAGGAAAAATAAAGAAAAAGAGTATCATAGAAAAAATACAAATGACTAATACATGGAGAATAATTTTCAGCTTCAAAAGAATTTGGGGAAATGAATTTCAAAGACAAGAAAATATTTTCATCACTTGATTGGAAAAAATTAAAAATATTATTGATTGCTAGTATTTAGGAGAAAATGGAACAGTGAACTTTCCCATTCTATCTTGAGCTGAACATAAAAATTGATATACCCAATTTTGAACAGGTAATTGAATCTTATAATTCAAAATTTAAATATCCATTCTCTTTGTCCCCAAATTTCAATTACAAGTATCTAATCTTTAGTAAAAGGCGAAAGATTTATACGATCTGAAGAGAAACCAGAGTATACAAATATCTAATCCTATAATAACACACAACGTACACAAACAAATGAGGAATAAATTTAATTTCCAACAAGCTTATAAACACAAAAAGAAAAAAAATTATTAAGACAACTTAACTATCAATTAATAAAAATACATAAATAAATTATGACAGTGATCCTATGGATACCATGTTATAATAAATGAAGACTCAGATTTTTTATGAGGGCTTTTAATGGCTTAAAACAATATTAATTTAAAAGAGTAAGTATATATATCTAGCTTTCTCTCATGTGCTTTTTTTTTAATCTTTTTAAGAGAGATTTTTGCTATCAGGTGCATGCACTCACCAGAGAGACAGAGACAGAAAGCAAGAAATCACCCCCTGGGGGGGATGGCCACGCCACAATCCCTTCTCCTCCATTCTCCTCTCAGAATCTTGGGCATGCACACATATACACCTGGCATGAGTTTCAATTTACCAGGCCCGGCACTAGAACTGTGGTCGACTACATTGGAGTCCACATTATACCAACTGCTGGTCCCACTCTAATGTAATTTTAAAACTATATATTGGTGTGTGTTGATGAATTAGTATGTACAGAAAAGTGTCAGGAAAGACATTTTATCATTAAAAATGATTATCCTGGGACCAGCATGCAGCATAGTGGTTAAGACATTGGACTCCCACATGCCTGATCACAGTTCAAGTCCTGGACCTGGCTATTTTAAACTCACACTGGGCACATGTATGTGCCTGCCCAAAATTCCAAGAGGAGAATGGAGAAGGGATTGCAGTGTGGCCATCTCTGTGGGGAGGTGATTTCTTGCTTTCTCTTTCTCTGTCTCTATCTCTACAGTGAGTGCATGCATCCAATAGCAAAAATCTCCCTCTCAAAAGAAAAGGTTGTCTCTACATAGAGGATTGGAAGGTGAGGATGGGGATGTAGAAGGTCTTCCAACTTGTCTACTCTTGCAGTATTTATTTATAAAAAATTTGTGGTGGTGGGAGTCTTCCAAAAGTTTGTGTAAAATATATATTATGAAAAAACTGGGCCAGCTGGTGACATGATGGTTGGGCAGTTGGATCCCACATGGCTGATGGTACCATTCAAGTCCTGGACCAGTTGGCTTGAGAAACACACCAACTGTGTATGTGTACATGCCCAAGATCCTGACAGAAGGGAGAGCTGGAGGAGAACGGATTTGCGGCATGATCATCCCCCATGGGGAATGCTTTTTCACTTTCCCCTCTCCCTCTTTCTGTCTCTCTCCAACAAGATCGCACGCCTTTTGGCAAATTAAAAAAAGAAAAACTGTATAGATTTCAAAAAATAATTTTTTTGCACCAAAAAATAAATTAACTTTTTTAAGTCCCCTTATATATTTTATGTATTATTTAACTAAAACATTGTTTTCATTGATCAAGCAAAATACAGTAAACTAAACAGTTCACTTTTAAAGACACTTGATTCCATAACTGTAAACTGACCTTCTCCCAAGAAACTCCAAAAGCAAAACAATTATATTTTCAAAAAATAAAGACCAGAAAGAGTTTAGAATTGAGAGAGCCTGAAACAAGAAATAGCATTTCCAAGCTTCTTTCAGAACATGGCAATATAATAAAACAAAAGATTGTTGATAATAAAGAAAAGATTCTTCTCAGTCTTTACCTAAAACTCACATCCTCCTCATTGCCACCATGAGTTATGAGTTGTGAAAACCTGGTGACTGTTTAAGATTTTGCTTAACTGCTTTTTTCTAAGATTCACTGACTTAGAGTACCTCCTTTGTTAAGAACTTTTTTTAACATCAAGGCAATAGGAAAACTATTTGTGGCTAAATACATGGATACACAAAAGGACTTATATTTACATAACAGGAGATGACAGATGTTTTCTGGGAAATGCGTGTGTCGGAGAACTGTTGAGAAATGGATGCATAAAACAAGTGTGTTCTTTCCACATACACTGTCTGAGAAAAGCAGCTACTGTCTGTGCTTAGAAACCAACTCTTTGATTACCCATAATTACTTAGTCCTGTACTTTTAAATTGAGGGCCACTGCAGAACATGTGGAGTCTCTATTAAACTTAATTACTTTTCCCTTCATCCTCCCTGAGAGAAATGTCACCATCCAGAAAGGCAGTTACCCAAGGAGGGAGGCGAACTTCCAAAACAGAATCCATCACTACAAATGCCACCCCCTTTCTCCCCCACACCTCTGCATCACACCAAGTCACACCCAGCTCCATTACTTATTGCTTAAACAGGCCACATGGATGAGAAAGGGAGCTCTTCTTTAGATGTTATGGTATAATAAATCTCTAGACAGCATCTGCAAAACCTCAATGGCAGAAGGGAGAAGTTGTATCGTTGGCTATTAGAAAAATCATCTTGAGAATAATAAACACAATAATGATAGTATAACTATATATATAAAAAAAACAACTATGATAGATATTCAGGCATAGACAAAAATGGACATTCACCTATGTGTGGCCAGGTCAGCAATTTTCTAGTATAAAAGTCACTGAGAGATTCAAAAACAGGATGTCAAACACCTTAAGTGCAAATTTTAATATGCATCTTGTGTGTAAACTGGAAAGATAAAGAGAAACAGAATTCCAAGTAAAATGAACAGATTTCATAGCATAGATCGGCAACAAGATCTTGGTTCTAATAATGTGATTTAACAGCCAACACAGTGGAGTGTCCATAGCTAATACTTCTGCAACTCTACTTGCCATTAGGCATTTGCAAAGAGAAGACATAAAAAACTGGAGATAAATGGACTGGAAATGTAAATAAAACCTGAGGAGGTGGTAGGAGGGAAGCAAGAGCTAAGCAACTCTACTGAGTGGTTTAGTGAGCCAGCAAAATCTGCCCAACTATTATATAATGGATTCAGGTAACCATGGAAGGTCTCTCACTTTTGTTAGATTCAAAATGTACTTTACTGTGTAGGAGGAGAAATTCACTAGGTAACAAAACACTAAGAAAAGTTTTGTTTCTCTGGTCAATAATTTCATTCACCCTTGACCAGGGAGAAGAGATCTACTTTGAAAGGATTAGCTGCAGGGTGGGTGGAAAGGATGTGGACAGGGCAGGAAGTTGGAGACTCAAGATAGTTTGAGAGAGGAGAAGCTGGGAACAGCAGGAGGCTGGTGGGGGTATAGGGTCAGCACTATCTCACTGCCATTAAAGACTAGAAAACACTACTTGGGATTAGTTGATGGCTCAGTTGCAGACTGATGCTCACAATCACAGCACTCCCAGAGCCATCAGGTAAGACCTGATGCCATCTGAACACCACAAACACAGGAAAGGTTTGCCAGTCAACAGCGTTACATATAGCAAAGAGAAGGAAAGAGTTTTTTAACAGTGGAGTTTTAAAAATCTTCTTTATGTGTATCTGCTCTTATTTTTCTCAGATGCTTGAGAAAGCCAAGGGGAAAAAGTGAAAATTAGAAAGAAGCTAAAAACAACTTCTATCTCCATCCAAGTAAATCAAAGACTGGTTTGGGAGTTGTCAATTCCTGGCCTTGTATTTCCAACAGAGGATTTCTCAACTATCTGTGGTTAAAAGCCATTTTGCCCTCATCTGAAGGACTTTGGTGGGAAGATAATTGCAGGAGACTGGTGAGATTGCCTTTAGCTAGTCGGAGCTGGCTGATGGGGGTCTTCCTTAAGAAGTGTATGCACACACATTTGGCAAAAGGCAGCTGTTTTTTTCCTTTAAGTTTCTGGAGGAAACTTAAAGAAAGATATAGGGCAGAGAGGTGAAGAAAAAATAAATTAAGCATAGTGTTTATGCACAGAGGAATCATGTCTGTATTTTTATTGCTACTCTCTAGTGCCTGTTGCAATAGGACTCATGGTGGTTTCAGCTGGTTCTGTGAAGGTAATAGTCATAGACCAAGAGTTCTGAGAACATTCTACCTACATTAAATAGAATGCCCTCTAGTGCCTCAAGTCAGCAGCTCAAATACAGCCTCATGCAAACTGGTCACCTAACCTAACCTAAACCGGTAGGGGATGAAGCTGGGCAGACAATACTCTAAGCATATAGCCCACTTATTTATATGGAACAAGTAGGAAATGGAGCTGAGGATATGACATTTTAAGTTAGACATACCCTGAGCAGAGACATCTTACAAAATGTTTAGGACAATACATGGGGAGGTGAAAATACATGAATCATTATGAAATCACACGGAACATATTAAATGCTAGAGAGATTTTGCATGCAGAATTGCAAAATCTGTGAGATCAGTTAATAATACTTTCAAATATTTTTCTTTGCAAGGTTGATTGTCATTTTAACCTTGTCTTACAAGGATCTCTGTCTACTTTTCTCAAGTTAGTGGTTCCTTCAGAAGAATCTTACAATTTCTTCCTGATTGATAACGTAGTTCTCCAAAATGCTTCCAAACAAAAAGAAAGCAAAACTTCGTGACTACTGAAGAAATTAATCCTTAAAGTAGCAGAAATAAGTAAAACAATAATTAATACAAACATCTGCTTAAAATTCCAAAACCTGACCAAAGTACACCTATTCAAAAGTACAATTAGGATTGGATTTACACATTTCTTCTACTTACATGTTCATTTCCTGCACATTCTCAGCTGCAAAATAAAAGGTCTTGATCTGTGGATGGCTGATCTTAAAAGCACTTGAAGGGGGAGAAAGAACAAACATAAGAAATTAGGTTTGTAGTTCTACATCTGAAAACAAATCAATCAAATATGAATATTATAAACTCATCTGTTTTCTTTGGAATTTATTCACATTAAATACTTTTTACCTAGTCTCTATTTCATATAGGAAGCTGAAGGTCAATTTATCATGTCAGACCCTCCAAAGTAAAACCAAGTCTTAGCTAGTCAATAGTTTCTATTTGAAACATACAGGCATATCCTTTAATTTTCACTTGCTAACTGCTTTCCTGTAAAGATACAATCAATTAAATTTTAGAGTGAAAAAGGTGCATGTCAAAATATTTAGATCAACTCCTTCAAGCAAATCATTTATTCAAATTCAATCAACTACACAGAAGCATTTTATTTATAGAAAAATAATCAGATATGGAACTTCCACATGGTAACAGCATATCAGAAACTTTTTCCAAGACATCCTTCATTAGAAAAAAAAAAAAAATGTGAGGCAGGTTTTAGTTTGAAAACATTGATTATAGGAAATGATAAGTGCTTCTACTTTACCATTTTGGCCAGAAGTCCTGCATTACAGGCCAGCATTTTTGTAAATAACCAGCGAAAAACCACAAGAATCAACACAACCTGTGTATCACTGACACATGCAAGTGCACCAGAGTGAGAAAGACTTAAAGCTCACATCAGGTTATTAGTTTTCTTAGAAGAAAGAAAACTAGTGGCAAAGGTCAACAGAAAAGTATACCTTCCTGGTAAGTCTGGAGAAGATGTCAAAGGTAGAAGAAAGAAGAAGAAAATGGTAAACGAGGATACACATGCAAAGTACAGCAAGATGTGATCAGGGGAGCACTTGATTGGGAGTCTGGGATTGGCAGGCACCCTCCTGTGAATTCTAATAAGGTCATATGCTCTTTAGGGTACTTCATTGTCAGCTGAAAAAAGAACCATGAACCGGTGATTCTTTTCGTTTCTGTTGGTTCTCAAATCTTTTGGACTTCAATTGTATTGGGTGTAATCCCTAAGTTTAAGACATCTGAGAGAATTCAATTCCAGTGGTACCCCTGACACTTGTATGAACTAAGGAAGAGACACTGTCTTGTGATCACTTGCATCTCTGGGGAGTCCTATTTAACTACTAGTTCTTCTCCTGATGGGGACAAAACCTGGACATCTTACTTCTTTGCCAGTCCTGGATGGGAGATTTATTTTATTCCATCTCAGACACATCAACAACATTCCATGCCAATGCTTCATGGGAGTTCTAAAACCCATCTGCTCCACAGAATGAAATTCCAGAAAAATGAGAGGTCAAATGTTTCTATTACTACTTACGGTGCCAACCCTCAATGCTCAAGATTCTCATACATCTGACAGTCACCTTCACTCACTTCTAAATGACATCACTCAATAGATATTAGAAGGGATATCACCCTGGCTCAGAGTTTTGTGGAGGATGAGAGACCACTTACTGCTTTTTTTTGCATTCAGATGCTCTTTCCACAGTGAAATCAGGCAGGTTGACAAATCCATCAGCTTTCTCTGCCTAAAACAAATACATACCACAAATGAATAAATGCATCAATCCTAGAGGTCTGTTTATTGAGACCGCACCATGGAATAAAGATGATATCAATGAAATAAGAGAGGATCAGAAGATACCTCAATGAACTAACATTAATTAACCATGGACCTATCCCAGATACCCAGCATATGAGAGAAGTTAACATCCTCCTGATAAGACAGCAAAATCTTCTCATGACAAGTTACATGGCACAGCTCAGGGATGGACAACATATGGTGGGCATAGGACCTGCCCCCAGCCCTTCCTGTTTTCGTGGAAGCACAGCTAACCCATCAGAGTTCTACTTCCTGCT